AAAGTCTTTCCTTTCTACTTGTTTTGATTAGCTTTATGATCAAATGGTTCAGATTAGTTAAAATATACACTATGAAGTTGTCATGGATGGACTTAACAAAGCGGAAGTTAGGCTTATCAGTCTATGTCACCGTGACTAAATACCTCCTCCTGACGCTCTATTTCATTACTTCGCCCCCACCCTTTTAAGGGGTCAGAGAGTGTCAACGAAAATAAAATAATGAGAAGAAAGAGTCAGAAAAGGTCCTTTACCCTATTTTATATAGTGTAATCACTGTTTTCGTTGGAGCATCCTAAAATTGCCGAAAGAGGGCACAAAATTTTTGCTTAGATGATTTGTTTTTAATTTTCAAAATTAAGTTTTCTAAAGAAACATATCACATTAATTAAACGTTAGCGTCAATATAATCTTAAGAAAATGACGATTGTAATTTAGGATAATCAAAGAAAATATACGTAAACGAGTATTAATTAAGTATTATGTTGCGTAGTACATTTAGTCTCCAAGTATTAATTAAGTATTATGTTACGTAGTACATTTAGTCTCCAAGTATTAATTAAGTATTATGTTACGTAGTACATTTAGTCTCCAAGTATTAATTAAGTATTATGTTACGTATTACATTTAGTCTCCAAGTATTAATTAAGTATTATGTTACGTAGTACATTTAGTCTCCAAGTATTAATTGAGTATTATGTTACGTAGTACATTTAGTCTCCAAAACTATTTTACATTCTACACTTTTAAAAGGTAGCATTGAAAATATTATAATTTCCGATCGTTTGTGTATCATATCGTCGGTTATTCTTTCTTAGTTTTTCATCCAACTTTACTATTATCCGTTTTCCCAGTTATGGTGAATTTTTACAAGTTGATGATGGAACTCACAAGAGTCGAAAATATTCAGTGTTTCTTTATTGATAAGCACAAAGCTACACAGTGGGCTATCTGTGCTCTGCCTATCTCGGGTATCGAAATCCAGTTTTTAGCGTTTTAAGCCCACAGAATTACCGCTAAGCTAACGGGAACAATATTTATATATATATTATACATATATATCTCCAGCTATTTACTATTACTTGTGCACATAGAAAAAACGTTTGTATACATACTTATGTGGGTGTAAAATGTTAAGCTAATACTATGACCCAATAGTATTCTTTTTTCGGGAAAATATTTTATATTATTTGCTTAGGTGTTTAAGGCAAAAGGTGGAACCTGAGCAAGAAAAAGGAGGATTCACTTCATTATTTCTCACACGGAAACCGTGTATTTCTTGCGTAAAGTTCATACACTGATACAGTGTGAAATAAAAGCAACCGGAGCATAAGAATTCCCCATTCCCTAGGACCTTTCTCTCTCCCCTTTTCTAACCCTCTCTAGGCAAGGCCAAAGTCCCCTCTCAGGATATTTCCCTTTAGATTTCATTCACCACGGTACCAAGCATGTATAACGCTACACGTAAAGTGGGCGTTGTATTATCATACATAAGAGATAGACGTGAGAGAGGGCAGCGGTGCTGTCCTGTTCTGGAACGGTCGGAGAATTCCGTCCTGTCCCGGCGTTGCTTTATCTTCCTCAAACGGACCAGAACAGAAGGAGAACGGGAAGTATTCCTTCCACGGGCGCGAGGGAATTAGCCAAATTATTTCCCGTTTGCCATCTTTTGTATAGTTTTGCTGAAGTCAACGAAGCGAACACCCGGGATAGGGCCCCACCCTTTTCAGACACGTGAACTGTGTACTTCCGTTACCGTGAATTCAATACAATTTAAAAATAAAGTAAATGTGAATATTATAACATATTTTCACACACGCACGCACGGACAAACATACATACGCATATATATTTATTATATATATATATATATTTACAAGTGAACAGAGAAGTTCAGTTCATGCAAGTTGACAAATTTTCCATTATTTAATCCTTTACTGTTTGACACTAAAAAAAATTAAGTTCTTACATCCAAGAAGTGTTGTGTCAGGACGTGTTGATGAACATAACACTTTACAAGGTTGTGTTATTCATGTAATAATGATTACAATGACAACTTCATGGCTGAGTTACTTCGTCTTGTACATGTATTTAGAGCTACCTCCGTCTGTTTACCGATTTTTGTATAAAACATATTTGTTATGAACCTGTAATAATTCCAACTTTGTAACACATTTATATTTGTCTATATATCTTCCAGAATAATGAGCAAATTTACGTAGTCGATAAATAATAATTTGAATTATAAAAAAGACATCAAAGTATTTGCAATTTATATGTATTCATACATAACATTGTAAAGAGTGTAAGATTTAAATATGGACGTTACTAGTTGTCGCTGAACAGACTAATCAAACCAATAGCATGGAAAACAAATGTAAATAAATTAACATATTCTATCTACAGCTTCCATTTTGAAATGTTATTTCGGTTATTAAAGACTTTTTTACTTTTCAGATACCTAGATGACCTGTTATTTTGCCAATTACTTGAATATAATAAAAATGAAGGTTGGGATGAATTTTTGTTTGTGTATATACGCATATATTACTGGGATCAAACGGGGGTTGTTTCTGTTTATACTTGACTAAGATTACAATGAAAGCTGCGACTAAATAACTACCATCTGCGCGTTGTTTACAACGTTGTTAAGTTAATCGTTAACCATTCCACGACTTAATACATATATAAATACGCAGTTGTTCAAAGTATTTGATTACTGTGGTACGATTAACAATTATATAAAAAAAGTGTACATAAGTAAAAGCTTTAGTTGATATCAAAGTAAAAATATTAATCAGACAAAGAAGTTAAGTTTGTCTTAAGACGAAAATATAAGTTATGAAGAACGTTAGACTAACAATAAAGTAAGAGAGTGAGTTAAAACGTATAATGGATACTAAGACGAAAATGTAAGTCTGTAAAAATCTTATATTGATTTTAAAGCCAGAGTATGAGTCAGTTGACTAGTTGATGTCACGTCAAACATGTTAGTTAGTTTTTTAAGAAATTAAGTATATCTTAAAGTGAAAATCTAAATCAATAACAATGTTAAACTGATGTCAACGTCAGGGTATAAGTTAATTAAAACGCGAAGCGGATACAAAGATGAAAGTATAAATCATTCAAACTATTATGATTATATAGAAACAAAATTGCTAGGTTAATATTCAAGTGAGTTAAAAATATTAGCATGATATTCAAAGTTAATTTAAGTCTTTTAGAATGATATAATGCTATTAAATTGAAAATGTAAATTATTTATAATCTTAGGTTGATTTTAAGGTCAAACAAGAAACTGAATCATTTAGAATCTTAAGTTGGTATAAAAGTTAAACTTTAAGCCATTTATAA